ACCTGAAGAGCGTGAGGATGGGCTGCAGGAAGCAGGATCTGCCCGACAACCCCAAGAGATTCGACACCAACTCGAGGGTTTTGGCCACCACGGGCTTCAAATCGGGGCGGCATTACTGGGAAGTGGAGGTCGGGGCTTCGGACGGTTGGGCCTTTGGGGTGGCCAAGGAGTCGGTGAGGAGGAAAGGGCTGACTCAGTTTTCTCCCGAGGAAGGGATTTGGGCAGTGCAGCAGAATGGAGGGCGGTATTGGGCCGTCACTTCGCCCCAACGCACCCCGCTGTGCCTCGGGCAGAAACTCAGCAAGGTGAGGGTGTACCTGGATTACGAAGGGGAGGAGGTGTCCTTCTACAACGCTGAGAACATGCAGCACATCTTCACCTTCAACGTCGCCTTCCGAGAGAAAGTGTTCCCTCTTTTTTCCGTCTGCTCCACCGTGACTTACATCAAACTCTGCTCCTGAGGCCGTGGGGACCCAACGGTGGGTCTGGAAGGAGTGGTTGGGTTGTTGGGAGAGAAGGTGGGGGGATGAGATGGTGAGAGGGGTGGGGGGCCGTCCCAGGGGGTCTTCAGACGAAGGAACGGAGGAGTTCTGAAACCATCTGCTGAGTTTCGATGACGCCTTCGTCAACCCGTGGTTGAGGCCAACCCAACCCTTCAATGAGAAGGAAACCACTGCACTGCTTTGGGGCCCTGGGTCTGGTGCTAAATGGGTTTTCCTCTTGGGATGAAGACTGCTGGGGAGTTTTTGTTTTGTTTTGTTTATTTTGGCTCCTTCCTTCTTGCTCCTGCTGCGAAGAAGTGCCTCCATGAAGGGTAAGTCTTGCTTGTTTTAGGCTATTCTTCTAAAATTTGGGATAATTCTGTCCTCCAAAGACTATTTTTGCAGTATTTCAGTGTTGGTTTGAACCCTGTGGTCACCACAGTGTGAACTCACCTGGAGACAAACTCCCAAAATGCTGATTTTTTCCCCCAAAACTGTCCCATGGGAAGCAGAAAGAAATGGGTGACATGGAGACGTTGGGGTTGTGCTGGAAATAAAACGTGAAGGTGCTACTGGAGCTGTTCTCTTTGTTGTTCCCAATTGTGAGTGGGGTTTGGTGGTGCCCCAGTCAGTGTTTGGAACTGGGAAATAAATTAATTGAAGCACACAGAAGGTGGTTGGGTGGAGAGAGGGGTTTGATGTCAAAGTGAAGCTCAGCCTCAGTGCTCCTATACTCCTAACGGTGCGATTGTGATTAAGAGCTGCTGCTAAACTCCCAGAAAATCTTTGCGGAGAGGAAATGTGCTGTTCCAGCAGCAGCACAGAGCTGTGCTTGTTGCATTTTACCCCATATGTCCCAAAATATAGGCGTGATGTTGGGGTGTGCGGGTTTCCTTCCAGCTGCTCTTTGTCCTCCCATTTTGCGGCAGCTCAGACAGTGGGAAAGGGAGGTTTGGGGGGGAGGACGCGATTTTAGGGCTGCATTTTAGGCACGAAAAGCAAAAAATCTGAACAAAAGCCCCAAATCAGGGCAGCGTCTGCAGATTCTATGGGACAATTGCTCCCAATGGCGGCTCCATAGCTCAGGGGTTAGAGCACTGGTCTTGTAAACCAGGGGTCGCGAGTTCAAATCTCGCTGGGGCCTCTAGGTGTTTATTTTTTTGTTTCGATTTCCAGGCTCCCCCTTCCCCCATTTCCCCCCCGGGGGGCGGTTCTGGACCGGGGGGGTTCGGGCGGATCCGGGTCCATCGGTTCCGACACCAAAAGCGGCACAGAAGAAGTGTTCGTAACGGCGGCTCGTTGGTCTAGGGGTATGATTCTCGCTTTGGGTGCGAGAGGTCCCGGGTTCAAATCCCGGACGAGCCCGATTCTTTTCTCTCCCATTTATTTCTTTTTTTTCGCCGTTTCTTTTCCTGTTTATTTTTTCCCCGATTTCATTCTTGCATTTTCTCCCCCCATTTCCCTTCCATTTGCCTTCCCCCCCCTTCTTGCCTTTTTCCCCCTTATTTCCATTTTTTTGCCTTTTCTCCCTTAATTTCCTTTTCCATTTTTTTTCCCCCAACGATTTGCCTTTTTTTCCCCTTTACCTTAAAACAAAACATCAATGTCCTCCTCCCTTTTCCCCCCACCCTTCTCCTCTCTGCGAAGTGACGCTGCTGCTGGGGGGGGGGGAAACAAACCATAAATCGGTTAATTTCATCTTATTTTTTTAATTTTTCTGGACGTTTTCACTGTTTCGTGGGCGAAGAAAATAGGGGAAAAAAGCCCTTTTAACTCATTTTTACGGTATTTAGGGCGCAGAGAGCGTAACAGTGGGGGGGAGCGACGCAGGTGGGTTTCTGTAGTGTAGCGGTTATCACGTTCGCCTAACACGCGAAAGGTCCCCGGTTCGAAACCGGGCAGAAACACCTCGACTTTTGTTAATTAAAAAGAAATAAATTATAACAAGAGTTATAGGCGGGGGGGGAAGATTTGAAATTTTGCGTTTTGGGACCGAAAACACCGTTTTCTTGCAGAACGCATCCGGATACGGGATGGAAGTCTCTCCTTTTCTCTCCTTTTTCCCTTTTTGAGAGAGAGGGGGGAGGTGAAAGGGGCAGAAAAAGAGGTGGAAAAAAAAGCGGGAAGGGAAATAATTAGCTAATGAGCGGCTTGGCTTTAACCACTCCCCATTGCCAGATTGCCTGCAGAGAAGAAAAGGACAAAGGAAAAAGGATAATGAAAAAAATCGTGCAAAAAAAGAGGGGGGGGGGGAAGAAAATTTGCTGTCTGGCAGCGGTGGGATTCGAACCCACGCCCCCGAAGAGACTGGAGCCTTAATCCAGCGCCTTAGACCGCTCGGCCACGCTACCTCTGCATATACCTCAATTTATCCTCTCTTTGCTGTTGGCTTTCCAACCCTAATCCCAATCCCAACCCTAATCCCAATCCCAGCCCCAGTTCCACCCCAAATGCTCCAGGAAGAAATCCAGGAGGGCCTCGGGGGAGCTGAGAACAATTCAATCTCCATCCCTTTGCTTTTGCCCCCAGGCTCGATGTTTTCATACCACCCATCTCCCACTCCAGGAAAGCAACCAACCCCATTCCCAGCCCCATCCTCTGCTCCTCTATATGACGATGAAATGGTTTTTTGGGGGTGAAAAGGGGAAAAAACGGGGTTTCCCCATGGCTCCGTAGCTCAGGGGTCAGAGCACTGGTCTTGTAAACCAGGGGTCGTGAGTTCAAGTCTCACTGGGGCCTTTCTGAGGTGGCGTGGGGTTGCAATTTTGCCCTAAATTCCCCCAAAATGGGTATTTTGAATTTGGGGGGTTCCCAGCCCTGATGGGAAGATGCTTTTCTATTCGTTGCAATTCCCACAACTTTGCCTCTGAAAAGGGATTGTTTTGTTATCCCCACTCCAGCCCCACGTCCAGTGAGAGCCCCGTGCTCAGCGTTGATCCCTTATCCCAAAAACCGCACTTTTTTTCCCTCGTTTTTCTGTCTTTTCGGCCTTTTTCCCGTGTCTCTGTGGCGCAATCGGTTAGCGCGTTCGGCTGTTAACCGAAAGGTTGGTGGTTCGAGCCCACCCAGGGACGGGGAGAGGGAGATTTTTGCTTTCTCGATCCTCTGGATAATTAGCATGCTAATTAACCCCGATTGCTTCAAGGAGCTCTATCCCCATGGTCTGAGGTTGAATAAAGCAGCTGCTTTTGCTAAAACCCAATTCCTCGGGTTAAGGCAGGTGGTGATGCCCAAAGAGTGGGAACAACAGGAAGATACAATCCCCCTATTTTCCAATTTTTTCCTGATGCTTTGGGTTTCCTCCCGCTGGAACCGATGCTTCACCTTGTGGTCAGCTTTGTCCCAAGCTTAAGAAGGTGCTGTTGACCCTTATGATCCCATTTCTGCTCTGATGCAACCCCTCACTTGCCCTGATCTGAAGCTTTGAGCGTAGTCTTGCATCACCCCAAAAGGGTGAAAGTGTGTCCCAGGTCATCGTGCTGCTTATTGTGGGGTAACATGGATGTTTATCACAATTTTTGCATAGATAAAGGGGAACTGATAATGATCAGCAATGGGATTTTGCATTTCAAAGCATTATTAGTGGTGGATGGCCTCATCCTGTTCCCCCTAAAAATAATTAGAGAGTATTGTAAGGCTCTCTATATGCAAACGTTGGTTGCTCTGCTAATTTATTGTTTGCATTGAGCTGCCTTCAGCTAGAATAAATCTTTGCCTGTGCAATGTTTGTTAGAAATCCATGGAGGATGATCACACCCTGGGTGCGGTGGTTTCCAATGTTAAGAAATGTGGGACAGCGGTTACTGGTGAAAGGAGAAACTCAGCTAAAACCCCACTGGTGTATTGGTGTGAGTTGGCTGTGTGGCTCCTGGTCTGGAGATCTAAGATAGATTTGTCTTTGTAAGTTGGTGTTGGCCATGCTTTGGGCTCAGCTGGGCCGGAGATGGGCTGGAAGAGAGCGTGTCAGTGGAGATCGGGGTCTTATCCTGATGGTGGTTGGATGGAGTTGTGTTGGGTTATTCAAAGAGAAGGATGACTTGTGAGCTGTGGTGTTGGGTTATTCAAAGAGAACAATGATTTGAGATCTATCGTGTTGGGATCCAAAAGGAATGATGGGCTGGGAGCCATGGGGTTGGGTTGGGAGCCACAGTGATGAGTTGGGAGCCGTGGGGTTGGGTTGGGAGCCATGGTGATGAGTTGGGAGCCATGGGGTTGGGTTGGGAGCCATGGGGTTGGGTTGGGAGCCACGGTGATGAGTTGGGAGCCGTGGGGTTGGGTTGGGAGCAGTAGGGTTGGGTTGGGAGCCATGGTGATGAGTTGGGAGCCATAGGGTTGGGTTATGCAGAGAGAAGATAACTCAGGAGCAATGAATTATCTCCCAAATTCTGGAAGGGAAGGAGGAGCCTGATGGAGGGTGATGAGTTTCTACGTGGCCAAATGGAGGTGGGATGAAACATAAGCAACGAGGCCTCTCTCTATGGGGAGATGGAGGCACAAAAGAAACAAGAGAGTGGAAAATGATGATTTTATTCCATCTGAGCCATTCTCTGCACAAACTGGGACTCGCTGCGTTGCATCTGAGCATTACACGGTCACAAAGCCTACATGAAGTTGGCTCTCTTTCAGGAATCCCCCCTTTCCCAAGTGTTGGACCTGGAGGTTGTTAGTGTCCCATCTGAGGACAGGAGACTTTTCCATTTATTTTTTTTCCCCCAGTTATTTTTCTTTAACACCTTTCCTGCCAACGCACGTTGGCCGAATCTTCATGGAAAGTGATCGACCTCACCAAAAGAACGTTCCAACCGCCAACCCAGCGAGCTCAGAGCTCTCCCTTTTCCACGAAGCCCTCCAGGTTTAGGTTGAGATTTCGGGTTTCGCTGTCATCGTGGATGTTGCTCGCTGCCCTCACGGCAGCTTTCATGGAGGTGTCGATCCAGGCGTGAGGTTGGGCAGTGTGTTCTCCTGCAAAATGCACCCTTCCCTCGTGTTCAAAGAGAGCCTGGGAGTAATCGGTGAACTGATAGGGCGTGAAGGCAGCGAAGGCTCCCAGGGAATGCCTATCCAGCTGCCACTTCTGTATCACGTAGCGGTCGCAGGTGTACTGCAGGTAACTCTTGCTCACCTGGTGGATGTCCGCCAGGTCTTGGAGGACCAAATCCAAGTATTTCTCATCCGCTAAAGGCATGAGGAACTCAGCGTCGTCGTTCCAGGTGTAGGAGGCCAAGATGACCCCGACCCCGCTGGAGAAGTTGTGGCTGGGGTAGTAGATAAACCTGGAGGGGCGGTCGGTGATGGATTGCCCTCCTCGAATGCCATCCTTCTCCCAAAACTTCTCCGTGCACGCCAAAGCGATTTTGGAAGCGCTGGCGTAGTGGATGGAGCGGAGAGCGTCGTTTTTGGCAGGGGAGAGAGGTGGGAAGAACTGGATGTGCCTCGTGGCTTTGGCCGAGGAGGTGACGAGGACGTAATCTGCAGTCTCTATGCTCAGGGCGAGGGTGTCAGGAGCACGGTAGAACACCCGGACCTTCCCTCCCTTCGTCATGATTTTTTCCACCGTGCAATTGAGTTTGATGACGCCCGGCAGTGCTTTGTGGAAGGCTTTGGGCAGTTGGTCGAAACCTCCTGTGATTTCGTCAAAGCTGGAAGGGAGAAGAAGAGAAAGCGTTGGGTTTCGGTGAGGGCAGAACTTCTCGCAGAGGTCTGAGTTGTAAAATCTCTCCTGGAGAGACCCTTTGAGGAAGGATATCCCATCCAGATATCGAAACGACGCTAAAATTTCCTATTCTGTTGCACTTTTGTAGAGCATCTCCAAGTGAGGTTCTCTCCTACTGGAAATGTCTTACTCTCCCATAAGAGATGACATCTTACCTTTTCCCATAAGAGCTGACGTCTTACCTCTCCCCATGAGAGAAGATATCAAAATCCCACAGCGAGGCAAGGAAGGACAGATAAAAGCCCGACTCCTCGTTCAGCAAATCTCCGATCATCTGCACAGCTCCTCGGCTCAGATTTCCAACTTTAATCAAATATTCCTATGGAAGCCAAGGAGAAGTCAGGGCCTGAAGTCATTGTCTCAGTGCACTGATCAACCCCCAGCCAAAATTCATGCCCTGATCCACTTGGATCTACTGGGATAGATCTATTGGCTCCATGCGGATCAGTGTCTCCTCCAATTGAGTTGGACAGATCTCAAAATGAACAAACTGGGAATTTTCGACCCAATCTGCCCCCTCTCCGCCAGCTGGATCGCACAGGATCACCCTTTACCTTGGTGGAGAAGGAGTCGTGTTTAGCCAGATACTCCTTGCAGTTCGTGGTCTGGAACTCCTTGAAAGCCTGGAGAAGAAATAAATGTTGATGGAGTCAAGGAGGCAAAAAAAAAAAAAAGTGCATTTTCCAACAAAATTCTGTTCTGTTGGGACCTGAGGTACCACTGTGGGGTTTGGTAATGGGCTGAGCTCGTCCTACTGGGTTGTCTTGATGACCCCACACCAACTGGGTTGTCTCGATGACCACGTACCGACTGCAGAGCTTCCCTGTAGAGCTGGCTGGCACTTTTGCCCCTCTCTGACGGCCTCAGGGTGTAATTCAGGATGTCAGGGTTTCTGTTTACTTCTGCCACTCTGGCTCGGATGCCATTCACAAAATACCAGGCGTTGTCATCTGTCTGGCGGAACGGGTTGAGCTTCAGGTCAAACTGCCTTATAAACTCACGCACCAGCCTGGAAGGGGGGCAGAGGAGGTGAGAAGTGTTGGTGAAGCCTCCCAAGGAATCCTTGAATGGGCATTTTCCCATTGGGCACGTTGGTGCACCCGTGTTTGACTTTGGCACTGAAGGACGCTTCTACACTGATTGTGTTGGTGCACCTATCAATGACTTTGGCTTTTAAGTGTGGATTTTGGGTATTTTAGGCACTCCTACCTTTATATTTTTGCTGCTTGGAATTTGTGCTGCCTCAGTGCAGCGACCACAGGGAAAGGAGACCTACAAGGATGCCATGGGGAACAAGGGTCGTGTTCACAGAATGTAGAATTGGTTGGGTTGCGAGAGAGGCAAAGACATTTATGTCTTCTTCTGGAAGAGGAGGAGGGCTCTGCTCCCACTCCAGGACACGTGTTGTGTTTGCGACACCCCACGGATTCTTCCCAGAGCATTTTGGCTGATGCCCACGCCCTGCTTGGCTCCATCCTCTTACTGACACTGGGTTGGGTGCCCAACTGGGGGGAACTCACCCAACTTTTGGGGGTCGTGACTTCCAAAATAGACATCTGGCCCTGGAAAGGATGGAGGATTGCAGCTCACCTGTGCTTGCTCGGCAGGCGCATGGCTCCCAGCTCCACGTACCAGTCCTTCTCCCGGTAAGTCCTGATCCTCCCACCCACCCTATTGCTGATTTCCAGAATGGTCACCTGTAAAGGGTAGAGATGGCAAATGGGTTTTGAGTTCTTCCAGAAAGCCACCCCAGAAATGCGTTGATTCCACCCCAGAAATGCATTGGTTCCCCCCCAAAAGTGCATCAATTCCTTCAGAAATGCACTGATTCCTTCAGAAGTGCATTGATTCATTCAGAAGTGCATTGATTCCCCCTAGAAATGCATTGATTCCCCCAGAAATGCACTGATCCCCCCAGAAATGCATTGATTCCCCTAGAAGTGCATCGATCCCTACCAGCAGTGCATTGATTCACCTAGAAGTGCATTGATTCCTCCCTAGCAATGCATTGATCCCCCCTAGAAGTGCATTGATTCCCCTCCAGAAATGCATTGATTCCTCCAGAAATGCATTGATCCCCCTAGAAGTGTATTGATGCCCACCAGCAGTGCATTGATTCCCCTCTAGCAATGCATTGATCCCCCCCAGAAATGCAT